CGCCGTCGTCATCGTCGCATTATCGCCGTCATCACCTTTTTCAAGGATTCTTTACGTTTTTAACCTCTCAAATACCAAGTGGCCAAATTTGACAGCTTCGATATTCCGTCAAAATTCAAGCAGTCAAATATGACCGCACCCACCCACAGCACTTTAGCCCATAAAAACTTATATTTAGAGACTACTTTTCTATGAAGAAGTTTGGCATTATAAAATCAATATGAAATTTTCTATCCTCTAGTGGAATAAAAAACAGTCTATGGATATTAATTTATATTCTAAGTTCATTAAGTACGCCATTTTCATTTGTATGTTGTTGTGTTGATTTTTGGATTTTTCTATTGTTTTATTAGTGTTTTACTATAGTATTTTATTATAAAATTGTTTTAAAAGTGTTTATGTGAAAATAATTTATATTTTTACGTAAATAATTTCGAGTAGTATGTAGAAATAATTACGATTTTCACGCTGCCGACATTCGTTGGATATGTTTTGTTTTTGTTATCAAAATACAATACTCTTTTTGTAATGAACTAAAACCTGACTTTTATATAGAGAATTTTGTATAGATTTTATAATGCTAAACTTCTTCATAGAAAATAAATTATAACAAAAATAGCTATTTATGAAGTCAACAAATTAATGGTCATTTAAAAACAGACTCGTGAAATTTCTTCAGACTCTTTTCATTTTGATAACAAAAACAAAACATACTAAGCGAATGTCGGCAGCGTGAAAATCACAGTTATTTCAATATATATTACTCTAAATGTTCATTTCAACTTTATAATAAAACACTATACTAAAACACTAATAAAACACTAGAAAAATCCAAAAATCAACACAATAACATTCACGCGAAAATGGCGTACGAAATGTACGTAAATTATAAATAAATATGCATGCCATAACTATTTTTATTGCTCTAGAGGATAGAAAATTTCATATTTATTCTATAATGCCACTTCTTCATAAAAAAATAGTCTCTAAATATAAGTTTTAACGGTTTAAAGTGCTGTAGGTATGCGCGGTCAAATTCAACCGCTTGAATTTTGTTGAAGGGTTAAAAATTTCTGCCTGGAAGATAGGGGCATTGGGGCATTTGGGGCATTCTCCATAAATGCCAAAGCCTACGTCAAGGTCCATTTTTGACTCATCTGTGTATCATGTAAGGCTACCGACCTCAAAGATAACCTTTCCATTCTTTATATTAAAATTGTATATTGGACGCATGATATCTGAGATCATGCATAAGACCCGTGTTTCCTTAATTGAGTCGAGCACGGATCTCAACTTTTAGGAAAATAAGCGTAGACCACCCTATTACAAACTAGCCCAGGCTTCCTGACATTAAGAGCTTCTCCAGGCGATGATTGCATAGCTCCAGTTGCTATTAAGCAGGCAGCCCTTTGTAGACTATTTAGTCTGTTCACAGTCGTCTTTTGGTTGGCCTTATTACACCAGACAGTGGAGACGTATATGATAATCGAATTCATTATACTGCTGTACAACTATAGGATCATACTGGCACGAAGCCCCAGTTGTTCCCAACCATATATACGGCTGAACGTACCTAAAACAATTTAAGCCTTATGACATACGTTGCTAAAGTGAGTGTTCCACGTTAATTTTTGGTCGATTGTTTGGCCCAAATATTAAACTTTCTCGATAAATAAAGAAACAGGCTTTACTTTGCATATATCCATTATATTGAAGTTTTCAGAACTTAATTTGCTCATTTCCGCGTAATAAAATGCAATGATGTGTCCTGCCTAGTCTAAAGAGCACCCACCTCCCACATTACCTCAGTTGTGTGCACTATCCCCTTTATCACCACTCCCAATACCACCACTCTCAGCACCGCCACTCTCAGCACCACTACTCCCATCGCCACCCCTCCAGGCACCACCACCCTAGAAATGACACACTACCCTTGACAATAGGACATATGTTTCGCCTTTACACGAGACTCCCTCAGATGGAGTAGACTCTGCGGAGGCTGACACTATCTTCGTCAGCATTAATCCCATCACCACCACTCCTAACACACACGCTGCTATTTATACAACTCGTTATTCGGCCTTCAGCCACCGCAGAGTACTTCACCTGTGAATGTCTTGTTTAGAGGCGAAACACGTATCGTATTATCGAGAGTGGTGCGTCGTTCCTAGTGTGCTGGTGTTGGGTGTTGTGGTATTGGGAGTGGTGGCTACGGAGATAGTGCATACAATTGAGGGGGGTCGGGAGGTGCTCTTCAGACTGGGATACATAATTTTATTTTATTACGCGAATATGAGCAAATTATGTTCTAATAACTTCAATCACATGGATTGAAAAATGCCCGAGAATATTGGGCCAAATTCAACACCATTATTCCTGTTTACACCATTATTGTACCCTTGCCCTCAAACACTTTTACAATTGTATCAAGAAAGAGGCCAATAGTTCTTTTTTGAAAAGTCACTTACTACTGCCTTGTAAGCAACAAAACATTCATGCTTTGACTTCCTAATTAGTGTCAATAAAACGGAATGTTAGTGATAAGAGTGAGTGAATTGGTGACCAGTGCCTGGTGGTAGCGCTTCGGTTGATTTCGACCTCGCCCGACGACGGCGCTAGGGCCGCCACTGGGTGCAATAAACTCTGTTTCAAATATATTTTTAGGTTAGGTATCTATAAACGTAATGTTGCGAAAATGAAATAATAATGTACTTGTATTAATAAATATAATAAAATAAGTACGCTTACTCAAAGGAAAAAGATTTAGCTATATATATTTAGTAATTTTCTTTTTCAAAAAGTTTTACCTCCTGACTTTTTTTAATGTTGTGATGTAAAACCCCCCCCGTAAATTTACGCGAATACTGATTTTTTGATAAAATTAAAATCTACGAACCACGAAGATACATTAAGCTCATACGAAACAGTAATTAAAGAATTTTAAATTAATAGCGACGAAATTCGCAAAATATTTTTTTTTTTCAATTATTCAAAAAATTTTCGCGAAAGGTAAATTGTTAATATAGGCTCGAAAGATCAGTCGAAGACGGACGGTAAACGATGCCATTATTTAGGGTTGAGATATATTTTTTTATAGGATAGCGTGACAAACGGTAGCACACAGTCTACCTGATGGTAAGTGGTTGCTGTGGCCCATAGAATTCAACATCTATCCTTAATTACGAATCAAAATGCGGATGCGTTATCACCCATATACGTGAAAAAGTTTTGTAATTTTCAACATCTTTTACTAAATAATTCTCAAATATTAACAAATTATACAATAACAGGAAAAAATTGTAATAGTTAGGTTAACATTAATTTAATAGTTGTGCATAAATTTACAAAACGTTGTATTTATTCATGAGTCCTAACCAATTAGAACTTCCTTGATTTTTATGATTATATATGATATTACTAAGAAACGTAGCTTTAATAATAACTCCCAAATTAGCCATTTAATGCGAAAAACCTTGATAACGTCATTCGTAAATATTTAAGATACTTCAACACGTTTAGACATTTAAATAATACTAGTTTTTACGGATTTTATCGCTTATATTAACTTTATTATACAGAAATATTTATATATTTTACTTTATTATACTCTCAGAAATAAGGGGAGGCGTGTGCCTAGCAGTGGGACATATGTACGTTGTTAACTTTAATTTTATACATACCTAACCACTCACGCCCGTCACTTGGAGGGGTAGACAAAGACTACAGGCTTCATTTGGTGTGCTCCAGATACACCTCTCTTGCCTCCTCCACCTTCATATACCTTCGCGCATACATGCTCGTCGGTTAAGTGTACTACACAAAGTAAGTGTGTACAAAATAACTCAGATATTTCAACATTATTAATTATTGAGGTGATTAATTGATAGCTGTGCCCAGTACATCATTTTATATAGATTTATTTTTGAGTTACCTTAAGTATTCTAAGCACTTTTACAGATGTGATTCATTATGATTCCGTGAGTTTGTGATTCAAACAAAAAATTTCAAAGTGGGCAGATGTGTAATTTTTTTATTGGCTGTTTTACCCTGTTTAAAATTAAACTTTAAGCTCAATTATCTTTTTTTGAGGACACAGTAGATACATACATACGTACATACGTAAACACTTACGTCTCTCCTCCAGAGGGGTAGGCAAATACTACAAACTTCCATTTGGAACGATCCTATACTTACAAATACATGCTCGTCGGTAAGGATAATCATATATTGGCCCATCTTCATTAGGGTCCGTTCACACAGACCGGCTCGGAGAGGAGAGCAGATTTTTATCACGTTGGAAACAGTGTTTTGAGTGATTGTAGTAAAGTTTATTTTTGCATTTGCACCTTTTTTGTCATTAAAAATGCCTGAACGCGCTTCGTGTGAAGTAATAAAAGGAGCCGACCGGCTCCGCTTGCGTGCTCTTTCTCGCTCGCGCAGCCGATCGGCTCTGATTGCGTGCTCTTTCTCGCTTGCGCAGCCTGTCGGCTCCGATTGCGTGCTCTTTCTCGCTCGCGCAGCCGATGGGCTCCGATTGCGTGCTCTTTCTCTATCGCGTAGCCGATCGGCTCCGATTGCGTGCCCGCTGCGGCCGCGCCGACCGCCATTTTGATAGCAACATTTGAACGTAATAGTTGTGCGTACTTGTACGAAAAGATGAATGATGAAAAATTAATAATACTCGTGTCAAAATATGAGTGTTTATTTGACATAACCAAGCCATCATATAGCGATCGGATAATGAAAGACAATGCATGGGAGGAAATTAGCAAATGTCTCGGAATAAGTGGTAAGTAAGGTTTTCATTGTTTTACACCTACCCCCAGATACTCAAACGAATTTTAAAGCAAGGGGCTTCTTAAACTCGTGCTGCGACGTGTTAGATTCAAAGTCAAAATAGGAATAACATGAGTTTAAATGCGCCCTTACTTTAAAAACTCGTTTGAGTATCTGATCATTAGAATATACTTATGTAGTAGACAATTTTTATTAAATATAACTTAAGAAACTCGCGTAGCCACTTGATCTTGCCAATCTAAAGCACCACTTGATGAAAAATAATCCTTAAATTTATTCCTTGTGGTTAGAACTGCGTCGCTATTAGAACTGTTTTCATTATTATTGTCTGTTATTGCTGTTAATAAATTTATATTGCTGTGAAATTCATTCTCTTGTCCTGGCGTCCGATTTTCTATTAAAAAATTATGTAAACATGTAGTTGCTAATATAATTAAATCACAGTACTTCGGCTGAATTTTCATTCGTTTTTGATAAATTTCAAATCTTTGAGTTAGCATTCCAAATGCACATTCTACGACTTTTCTTGCCCTGCTTAAACGCAGATTAAATACTTTTTTTGATAATTCTGTTCTTGCTTGTTCTCTTGGATACGGCCGCAATATATTATTGCTCAAAGGAAATGCCTCGTCTCCTATAAAAACATGTGGTAAGCTTTCAGTGGTACTAGGTAGAGGTTTATTTGGGGGCAGCTTTAACTTATTGGTGTTGAGTTTTTTCCAAAATTTTGAATTCTGTAAAATTCCGCCGTCGCTATTTTTACCATATGATCCGACATCAACAATTAAAAAACTGTATTTCGCGTCGACCACAGCTAGTAACACTGTACTGAAAAAAGTTTTTATAATTATAGTATAAGCTTCCACTATTATCTGGTGCCTGTATATTGACATGCTTTCCGTCTATAGCGCCCAAACAGTTAGGAAAATTCCAAATATTAAAGAAATCACGTGAAACCTTTTCCCACATTTCTTCATCTGGCATCTGCATAACTATGGGCATCAAAACATCACAAATTACTCTGATTGTCTCATGAATAATTGAATGAACTGTAGAAATTCCCATTCGAAAATTAAATGACAAGTTTTTGAAACTGCAACCAGTGATGAGGAATCTGTAAAAATAAAACAAACACACAAAATAGAAATATAAGACTGCCGTACCAAAACGAACTATAAAATAAAAAAAGAGTTATGTTATTAATTTTTCATTTCTGTTCTTTCCAGTGACGCAGTGCCAGGATCGTTGGAAGAAACTGCGAGATAACTTCAGAAAAGCCTATTATAACCGAAAAGGCAAGAGTGGCGATGGTGCAACTACGTCCAAATTGATAAAATTTGAAAAAGAACTTTCTTTTATAATACCATTTTTTCGCAATCGAAACCAAATATCTAATGTAACATTATCATCGGATGATTCAGAGCCTGGCACACCAATACCACCACCATCGACATCATCTAAACGTTCTGACCATTCTGAAGTTGAATCGCTTGCAAGTACTTCTGGCTCGAAAAAGAGATCACGCTTAAGCAAAGATGTTGCTACGGTTTTCGAAGAGTATCTTGAAGAAAAAAGAAATACTACACCCCGTGACAAGGCATTACGTAATTTTTTTTTGTCTATGTCAGATACAGTGGAAACATTCCCAAAAGAAGTCCAAGCACGAATTAAAAGGCGCGTGTTTAACATTGTTAATGAAGCTGAATTAAGTCTGTATGAAAATAGTACAGATTTGAATTATTCTTTGTCTATAAATTCACCGCCATCGACTAATCAATCTACTTACCTAGTGTCAAACGAAACCTATATTCCTCAAAACTATCCAGATCAGACTACTTACGGGTACAATACCAGCACACAAAATACAAAATAATAAACAATCAAAAACAATAATAATTATAATAATAATAATTAAACACACACAAATCTGTACTATTTAATTACATTTCATTAACGTAAATAATGCTTAATAAATGGAGGGCTGTGATTTTGTGATCTATTTAGATGTTTGTGTTATTTAACATGATTAGTATAAGTAATTTACATTTCATTAACGTAAACAATGCTTAATAAATGGAGGGCTGTGATTTTGTGATCTAAATAACATGATTAGTATAAATAATTGTTTTTTATTTACCTTAAAGTTACCGTTAACCTTTCTTCGGCTGTAATGGTGCAACGATAATTTGTAGTCTTTTTTGTTATATGTACTCTTAACAAATCTGTCAATTTCAAAAATTGCCAATATTCCATACGATAATACTCATAAAATTTTAGGCTATCTCTCTTCAATTCCTCGAAAATGGTGTGAAACTCCCCATGGATTAGTCTGTTTTTCCAAATATGTTTTACCCATATTTGTTTCCGCTTGCGCTTACGTTTCCTATGTTCTATTTCAAGTAATCTTGCTAACAAATATATTTCTTCGTCGGAGCTATCTAAATCCATGTTTCGAAAAGCACACGTTAACACACCGAAAACAAAACTAAGACTGCGCGGAATACTGGCACTGCCTTTGTAGTGTATCCACCCGACTCCGAGCGCATCCGACCGGCTCCGAGCACATCCAACCGCACCCGCTTTCAGATCTCTTCCAGCCGGTCGATGTGAAATAGTTGGCGGCTCCGCTCCGGCCAATTCCAAGCGTATACGACCCGGTCTGTGTGAAAAGAAAAAAGCAGGCCGATGCTCTCCGAGCCGGTCTGTGTGAACGGACCCTTATATGGCGATATGGGTATTGAAGATAGGCAAGATTATTATTTGAATTTGGTCGATAGACTTTCGTATGGGGCGTCTCTTCTCGAAAAAATTACAGTGTAATGGGGGTATACGATTATCAACTGAGCAGTTCTCACCAAAATTGTACCGCCTTAAATTTAGATGTCCTTTAAGTTCGTGTTTATTTTGTGACTATATAAGACACCATATTTATCTGATTTTTTTTAAATATTTTAAAGTCATATCTATAGATATAATTAATCACGAATAAAATACTACCAGAAGCGTTTAAAATTAATAAAAAAAATTATTTTTTGAAACCTGTTTTTTTTTTGTATGGATTGTAGATTGTCCTATCCCCTATCACATGATTTGAAAGTTGATTTTACCAAAAAATAAAATTTTAGGAGTATATCTTTCCATTTTGATTAATCACATCACTATTTATTTACACAATGATACCTTTGAACATGTATTTACTTATTTAATTTATTAATATTTTCAATTTATTTGTTGTCCTAAATTTAACTCAATTTTGATTATCAACATTGTTACCATGATATTTAACATATTTTGTAAAAATTACTACTTTTTTGGATGTTTTTAATGCTGTGTAAACATTTTTCTCCATGTCTAAGTCCTTTCATCTTAAATTGGTAGGCTGACATGTATACTGTGTCAAACAATCCGTGACGTGTGTCGTGGGTACCGATTAAACTCAAACTTGTTACTGGACTTTAAACGGTAAGTACATACTTTATTAAAAAGAACATTTTTCTAATGATTTCTATGCGCATTCACTCTTGTTTTCACTATTTTTTACAACTTTAGCTAATAAAATAATATTTTTAGGCGGTAAAGAATCCCATAACCTCAAATTTTGTTACCTCAATTTTGTTACTTTTGAGTAGGTAACGTATATGTTGATCTCATTGGTAACACAATTGATATCATTAAGGGACGAATACATTAGCCTACTCCAACAAAAAAAATATGAAATGATGTTTAACATTAGGTAAGTATTTGTTTTTCGCTCCCGTATAATCTGCTGAATATATTTAATTGAAATCCAAAACGAATTTCATGTTGGCGATGCCATACATAGTTTTGTAGCCATGATTTAAAAAAAACACCACACAATTCGACCACGTATGTTTTTGCTTTTATTTAACTTGCGCTGTTCGTATGTAAGTAAAAATATGTCCGTCAAAATTTGCAAACCATTTTTCAAGGTTGGTATCCGATTGAGCTAAAATTTTGCAAGCACTTTTAGTTTTTATGACAAAATACAGATAAACGAGCACAGACAGTCTTCTCATGAAGGAACTGCTCAATGGTTAATAGTAACTGAATGAAATTTAGTATGCGTATAAAAGCTTGTCTGCATAAAGTATTGTTAAATTTAAAACTTATTTTGTTTGTGTTGCATGATCGATTTTCATAATTCTTTTTTGGTAGTAATGGGATATTCCATTCTAACTTTTTATTAAATAAATCACTAAAGTAAATTTAAGTTATAATATAGAAAGTTTATTTAAATAAATAATGGTGAAACAAATGTTCAAATAAACGAAAAACAAACTTTAACGAAGTAATACCTCTTCTTCTTTACTTTCAAAAGCGAAGATTTCATTGAAGTCGTGTTTTTGTTTATTTAAACAGTTTTTTTCATGGAGATGTTATTGTGCTCAATGAAATCTCAAATAAATGATTTTAATTTTAAGGTTATCTTACAAAATGGCACCGCTAACTGCCACGGAAGAAATGAAACGTTATCGAAATAAGCCAGAATAAACCAGAAAAGTTACAAGAATCAAGACGTAAAAATTTGGAAAAGATGAAGGTTAAACATAAAAAATCTAAGCTTAGTGACGAAAAACGGGTAAAAAGAAAGTATTGGAGAGATAAGCAAAAAGAATGTAGTGCAAAATGGAAAACAAAATCAACAAAAATAATAAAACGTCAATCATTCTTTAGAAGAGACAGAAGCGGTAAAGAATCAAAAAATAAAAAAGAGAGCGCGACAAGACATTGAAATATTACAGCAAAATGTTACATAAACTACAAAAATTACTTGAAGAAAACGAAAAAAAAAATTCAACAAAATGTAAATCTTACGCAGCACTAAATAAAAGGTTGTACAGTATTAAACTGAAAATGATTCTAAAGTAAAAAAAAACCTAGAAAACAGCAATAAATAGCTTTGGTTATTAATCCTTAAATAAATAAATTAAGCCTTAGAAGCATCATTACAACAAATTTATAAAGATTTGAAATGGACATGCAATCGTATAGATTTAGCATTTTTAGAAATTACTTTTTTGAAATATTAACTTCTATATTATCTGTATTTCTAAATCCTTGCAATTTGATGAGAATGGAGATGCATTCTCATTCAAATGTATTAATTAACAACAAAAAACGACAGTTTTCTTTTATTTAGGGAAATCTACCAGTTTCTGGAAATTAAGTCTATTTCCGGTATGTTACATCATAAATTTTAAAATAAAGGGTTGCTTATTTTAATTAAGAGTCCTATTATTATTTTCCGTTTATTAAACTAAATCCAATTATACCAGTATTCCTAACAATGTAAATGGGCCTTAATAATTTCTTGGTTACCAATCATAACCAATTTTATTACTGTCCATAAAAATAACGAAGGTTTTTAACTGACAAAAATTTTAGTTTTGGACTTTAACTAATTATATTTACTTATTAATACTTGCCGAAAAATTGTAATTTCATATCATTAAACAATATTTACATTTTATTTTTATTTTGCAATACATAGAAAACAATTGTTTGGTTTTCGTCCTAAGTAACACAGTTGAAAATGTTTGTATTGTAATTTAAAAATTAGCAAACTTTTTCAAGTAAACATTTTTGGGGGTTTAAATGCCTTCATATGTAATCGTATAAAATATTTAACACGGAATAATCAAAGAACTACATTTAATTAAATGAATTTTGTTTAGTAACAAAATTGAACACGGTAGTGCAATGCTCGTAAATAAACCTGTTTTATTCCTAAATGGTATAAATATTGGTAACAACCACTAAATTACTCAAATATTATATTACTTTTAGCAAATTCTTTAATAATATAATTTAAAACAAACACATTTTAAAAATCAAACAAAATATTTGCCGTACAAAATTTTTGAGAACTGCTTAACTACTCCATATTGTACCGTAGGTGTCGTAAGAGACAGACAGAAGAAAACTGAACCAGAAGATGGGAAGCAACATCTTCCTGATAACAACTAAAACAACCTTTTTCGCTTTCTCATTCATCCTTCATTAAAGCCAATAAGTATTTATTGGTCCCCCCATAAATTAACTCATATTCATGCCATAGTTGCCACGTTAGGTAAATGAGCCGGCAACCGTAATTTTTGTATCAATTTGAACTGTTATGAGGAATACTGTTGGCAACACACTGTTTATTCCCTCTGTCGCCTCTAACGACACCCACGGGAAAATATGTTGTCGTGAAGCGACAGTTAAAAAACTAAAGAACCTATCCTAACAATGAAACAACCAAAAAGAAAATAATTTATTTAAAATTTGTAAAGATATTTACAGTTTCTTTTATAAAATGTAAAGCCACAATTAAAAACTATAGAACCTAACCTAACAACGAAACAACCAAAAAGAAAATAATTTATTTAAAATTTGTAAAGATATTTACAGCTTTTTTTTTATAAAAAAAAGGTATGAGGGTGATGATGGGCTGTAGTGATGATAGAGAATTACAATTTTTTTTTAAAAAAAAGAATAAAAGTTAATAAAGATAAATGAGTACGGAAACAATGTATGTACAGGCTATGCGGTGCGGTGCGGTTCATGCACAGCGCCTAATCTAAGTACATGCAGCGCTTGAAGTAGACACACACAGCGCCTGGAGTAGACACGCAGCGTCTGGAGTAGGTCCAGCAGCGTCTGGAGTAGGTACACACAGCGTATTGAGCAGGTACACGCAGCACTTAAAGTAGGCACACACAACGCCCGGAGTAGACACAAACAGCGCCCGGAGCGCCGGAGACACGCAGCGTCTGGAGCAGGAACACGCAGCGCTTGAGACAAGCACGCACAGCGGCCGAAGATAGCGCGGGCACTAATAGGTGGAGGCGTAGGCGCGGCTAGGCGACGACTTCAGGAGAAGGCAGAGGCTTGCAAGATCCCGAGGCAGTGCGGATAAAGCCTTTAAGAGGTGCTTCTCGTATCAAAGCTGAAGTGAGAACCTCTATTGGCCGATTCTTCGGCTTTTATCCTTTTTTGACGGATCTGGGATAAGAACGAGAAATTATTTGAAATTATTTAAATTAAAAGCAAATTTTTGTAAATGACCAAGAAGAAAAGAGTATTTTTGAAGTAAAAACATCAGGCCGGTAACGATATTTGAATAAAAATTGCCATGACAACCAGATAAACAACGATGTCAAAACATGTCAAATTTTGGTTTTAGGCTCGTAATAGAGAAACGGCGGAAAAAAAAGGTAGCGCAACAGTGCGCACGAAGCCCGAAATTGCAGAGTTACGGAGAACTAAATAAAATACCGAAAAAGGTAGACTCCATTGACACCGATTTAAAAAGTGCTGATAACGTGAAAATACGATGTGAAAATGATTTGTTATTGTGTTCTTATGGTTTAAAAAACGTTACAGGATCCTATGAAAATAAAGGTGATGCAAAATATCCAGTTTGAGGTGAATGCAGAACATCA